AGCCTGCGGGCCCGGCGCAGCGCGGCGCCGTCAGGGAGCTGAGGTGAGCGGTCGGGGGTGGAGGGGCGGCTCGGCGTGAGGCGCGGGTCTGAGCGCGGCTTTTCCCAGGACGGGAGAAAAGTAGCTGAGTCGTTATGTAATTAGCTGAGAATTAGCGAAACTTGTATTTCTGCTTGTTAACAGGGAGTTATACTAATTGGCGATGTTACGTAGTCGTATGAAATAGAGGAGAAAAGCTGATTTTCTGATTTGAAAGCGTCGGTACTGGAGGCGTTTCAGGGAGGCTTACTGAGTATTGTTTGGGTCCTTAGGGCTTTCCAGAGACCTACTTACGTTTAATGAGGGCAAGATCTGCTGCGCTGGCTATTAGTGTGTCTAGTGTCTCAAATTTGTCGCTTCTCGTGAGGAGGAAGGAGCTTGAATAAATCTTTAGCTTCTGCTTTTTCGGTGTTTTTACATTGCGTCTTCACGCTGTGTCTTGCGTGGCGATAAGTTGCGGTGTCTCGCATTGTGGGCTTGGTTCACTAGAGAAGTCTACTCAAAGGGTAGTTGAGTAGCTGCCTATAACTGGAAAATTAAAAAAAGAAAAACAATGAGCACTAATATTTGCTCAAAGATCTTAAGTGTCATCTTAATACAGTACGGTAGACACTATGACCCTAAAAAATTCTCTGCTGTGGAGTAATTTGATGAATCAGTGACACTAAATAATGTCTTCATCAGTTTGCTTGTAATTAGGAACGTGTTTGCAGGAAGCATACTTGAGACTGTACTCTGGTGGTACTGAAAGCTTCCAGAACAGTTTGAGCAGTATCCTCCTCTCCTCCCTTTGGTGAAGGCTGCCTTTGTGGCATCAGGTGAAAACCGGTATCACCCTGATCTCCACTCCTTACTGTGGGCAGTACTGGTACCGCCTTGTGAAGTGGTCGGGGGCATCAGTAGACCTTTGGGACTGCATAATGCTGTAGGTTATTTGCTTTGCAGATGCATGTACATTCCTCGCTATTACGTTTTTCCTGCAGACATAGTCATAACATACAGTGAAACTGAATTATTAGGGATGTTCTTGAAATTTTTACAAGTATTTTTAATTTTGGTGTAAATTTTAGCACTGCAGTCTTTCCTGGGTTCTTATCAGTAATGTGGATACTGGGCACTTTGAGGAATTTAGTTTCTGTCAGTAATGACTGATGACTTCAATATTATTTCAGTTTTGTTTAATCAGATAATTGCTTACAAAGTTACTGACTGGAGAGTGTTCCCAAGTGATGCATCTCTGATGGCAGAATTAGATCTGCAGCATACCTTCCCCCCCCCCCCCTAGAAATTTGTTTTAGAATAGCTTTTGGCTGACTTCAGTGTAGTCTTACAAAGAGAAACTATTGGTGAGAGAAATTATGGATCATTTTAGTCTGGTATGCAAGGTCACTTTCCAGCTCTTCCACATACATTGTGTGTCACCTTGAGCAGGCAGTTGGCTGGGGGATAAAAATATGGTCCTAATAATGGATGTATTGGTGGGATTCACTATTTAACTATCAGTGTTTACAGGTCCTTATAGGACCTTAAGATGGATGGCAAATTAACAGCTTATTTTTTAAGTCTGTCTGACATGTTACAAGACTGACGGTAAAGTGAATCCCTTTTTAGAAGCTCTGATATTGAAATTACCATCTTATAAAGAAACAATAAGCAAGTCCTACGACATGCGAATGTTTCTGACAGGGCTCAAGAGGAACAGTACCTTTGCTTGGCTCTGGTCAGAACTGTTTATTTGTATGTTTGGGAGCTGGAGATTATATTTCTACTAGCCTACAGATGGAGGCACATGATTGATTCAAATCAACAGTAAATTCTTTTAAATCTTGAGCTTATAGAATTAACCACATTAAATCTATTATGAAGAAACAATTCACTGTGTGAGGTAGAATGTGATTGCAGCTTTTGTAACAACCCATTGAGTGTGGTGGTAATGCTACAGTTTTTTTCAGCGTTGCTGCATCTACATTTGTCCTGTTGCGTTAGAAGCAATGCTGAATTTCACACGAGTGAAAACTTCATCTGGAAGACCCTTAGCCATCTGTTTATTTTAAACTTAGGATTTTAATGGGCTAGTTCTTCAGAGTGTAGTTATTCTTTTCTTTTGAGCAAATGGCATCCTTCAGTAGTGAAGATGCATTTCAAGATTCAGCAGCGCTCTCCCTAAACGATTTAGAGAGCCTGCACAACTTCCGCAGTCGGTCTGCAAGTTTCAGCAGCACAGGGTCCAGTGGCCGCTTGCAGCTCCGTCAACGAGTAGCCCAGCTCATGGCTTGTGTAGAGGACATCAGTTCGGATGATGAAATTCATGAAGAAGTGTCTCGCACTCTAGATGAAGCTTTCCTTATCTGGGGGAAAAAGCTGAAGGATAAGTGGCAAGAATTCAGGTTTTGTTCCCTGTAGTTGATTGCTTTTGTGGTGTTGTGGGGGTTTTTTAATGCTAGCTAATAAATACACTTCTGATTGATGAAAAGTGACAGAAAATTTCTGTAGATAGAAATTCTGTGGGGAAATTAGGTGCTCTTAGGGTTGGTTACCTGTTCACGTTTCAATTTTAGCATTGGTTTTGTTTGATTTTTGTTTGCTTGTTTGTAGACTACACTTAGTTACCTGGAATGTGGGCACAGCTTCTCCACCTCCTGATGTCACTAGTTTACTTCAGCTCAATTCACTGGGCCCAAGTATGGATATGTATGTTATAGGGTAAGTATATGTTAGAGAACTTGCTTTGTAAGTTTATTGCAAAACTGCTGAGTCTCAACAGCTTACTGCCCGTTTTGGGAGGACTGTGCTATGTGAATCACTGCCTAGGAGGTAGTTTAACATTATTGCTAACAGAAGGTGAAGACTAGAGTTAGTGACTTAGAACAGAGATGATTTATAGCAAGAGAATCTTCTCTCCTTTCTGTGGTTGTTTTGTGACAAAATATAGAATACCTCTTTTCTAAACACACAAAAAGTTTTTGGCTGCTGTTTTCTTTGTTGGCGCATAGAGGCATATTGATTTTGATACGAAAGTTATCCAAAATTCAGTATGTTTTAAAGAAATTAGTGCAAGCTTATTAGGCAGAATCTGCCATCATGTTTTCCAAACTTTCTTGAAATTTTAAAGACCTGACAGTCAGGTTATTTGTCATAACATATCTTGAGTCCAGTATTGTCTTAAACTCTGTTTTCAGGTGTATATAAGCTCCTTTAACTTTGGTTTTCTCAGTGTTAGATGTGTTTGACCTGTGCGTGGGTTAAACTGCTTGTAAATGAGAAACTGAACAGCAAGAAATTTCTGACTTACGCTGAGAGAGGTCTGTTAGGAAGTTGTGGTCTGTGTTCTGAAGAGGTTGTATGAATTCTGTCAAAACCAGGTGATACAGTGTGAGTAATCTTGATGTATTCAGCTTGCAGGAGGTGAACTCAAGAATCACAAATTTTCTGTCTGACTTGGCATTTGATGATCCATGGAGCATTTTTTTCATGACTGTATTGTCTCCATTGGGATATATCAAGGTAATTGTTTACATCTCTTAAGTGTTACAGCAGTGAAGGAAAATGTCTTCCCCAGCTCCATTCAGATTTTTTTTCCCCTCAAACTCTCCATAAAAGATAAGTTGATAGTGTTTTTTGCAGGCGTCAGTCATTTCCATAGATACACTTATGTTAGAAGTGATTCTTCATCACGCTTGTGTTTTCCTGCTTTGTTGATAAAGGCAATTTTAGTATTTCTCTATTAATAATGTCCTTAATTTTAGCAGTAAAAATTGGACATACAGATTTTCATTTCTCATTTGGAATAGCTGGGCAGTTTTGATGCCTTTGCAGCTCAGATGACAAACAGCAAGAAGTTGTTCAGATGATATACTGACAATGGCCTGTGTAAGTGCTGCAGAACCATGTGATGAATAGAAAAATACTCCTGTCATAATATGAACACATTCTCAAGGAACAGAGTAACAAAGATTATTTAAAATGCAATGTGATGTAAACTTATAACAGCATATTTCTTGTGGCCACAATATCTCTATCTCTCTCTTATTTGTAGAAAATTTTTTTGCTCTGTGAAATATTGGGGAACTGTATTGTGATTCTTCTAATGTAATCTGCTTAAGTACCTGCTTTCACTATAAATATCCCAAACAATGGCAGTGATTTTCGTTAAGATTGGTAAGGTTTCTTCTTCTTTTTTTTTTTTTTTCCCAACTTGTTTGCAGGTGAAAATAAATTGCATATATGTAAAACAGGATTTTAGTGGGTATATATATTTTTCTGGTCTTTATTTTTGATTGAAGACCTAGAACATTGTATGGTAGTTTAAATGACAAGAGTTTTGGTAATATCTGGGGCATAAGATCAGCTAAAGTACTAACTATTTTAAAAATGCAAACAATAAACATAGGAGGATATCTTGAATTTCTCTAATAAAGAGATATTAAAAGCCTTTTGAATGTTTTATTGGTTTTCTAAATCAAGCATTACTTCAGGGTGATTTTTCTGAAATGATTGTATTATCTGCATGCTAACCAGACTCAGCAGTTGTGCCATTCTTTTAACTGTAATTAAACAAAACAAAGGACCCATTGGGAATTATAAAAAGGAAAAAATCCATCATTCATTCTAGTGTAAATCATTGCTGATAAACATTCAAAATCTGGCTGTGGGCTGGCATTCAGGCCCTGTATACAGACAGTTAAAAAGAATTCCTAGTGGTATGCATGGTTGATTTTGAATTCTAATTTAGAAATGTGGCACTTTGGACACACTAATGAATGGATGCTGCCACCTAATGGTTTCAGCCGGACTTGATTAGCTCTAATAATAAGAGGGGACTATCAAGCCAGGTCAAAATAAAACCGGCAGCGAGGAGAGCTTATGCTAGGACTTATCTGGGAAGTTGACTGAAGAGGAGAGGAACAGTTACCCCTTCTTTGCTGAGCTGTGACAAGGTTGGGTGTAGAGGGGTAGTTGTCATCCTTGGGGCATTCTGTCCCTTCAATAGCAGTGTCCATTTTCAGAGTGTTAAGTTGGTTGGAGTCAGTCAATTCTTTCACCATAAACAGAATTGCGTTGCCTCTATGAAAGGTCTTTGCTTGATTTGGCCCTACGTATTGGTGGGACTAGTGCTAGTTCCAGCAGAGGAGGGAGCCATTGTGTTTTGATGTTCAAGACCTACAGAGAGAAGAGGATTCATATGGTGAGAAACGTCTCGGGACTGGCCTACAACAGAATGAAATATAGCAAATAATAAAGGGACTGAAAGATCTTGGTATCTCATGAACATAATTATGGAAAGGAAAATACTGGTTATACCAAATGTCTTATCAGATACAAATATTTATGCGTTACCTAGTAATTGCGATCCATCATTTCAACATACTGTTTAGTATTTTGTTGGGTTCAAGGACAATGAAAACATTAACATATATTCTGAAATCATTTAATTGTGTAGATGTGGAGGCAAAGAAAGGAGGAATTCTGTTTTAAATTTTGGGCTGAGTTTGTGTACTTCTCCAGCAGTTGTATAGTCAGTGTTATTCTTAATATCAGGTTTTATTCTAATGTAGTCTTTCTCTAAGTTCATTCAACATAGAATTGAACTACAATTAATATATTTCAATGTCTGTATTTTAAATTGAATCGTTATCATTAAAACAAACACTTAAAATGAATTTTGTGTCTCATGCCAAGAACATTGTAAAGTTCATGAATTTTTAATGAAGAACATCTTTGCTAGGCTGTTTCCACACACACACAAAAAAACCCCAAACCACAAAAAAAACCCCTTAAAGCTTAAACAGTGTCTTACGTGCTTCCTAAGCATCTTTGCTTTGGAAGTGTTCGGTAAATCAGTTTTTACAGGCATTGCCAGCAAGAGTTACTGCTGTTTGCAGCTCATTGTTTTTGCAAATGCCTAGGAGTAACTGCTGTGCTTTTTAGACATTTTAATGGCATTTAGAATGATTAGTTAGATGCTGAAGGATGTTTCAGTTTGAAAAACTTGCTCCTGTTGGAGGACTTGTAGGTGTGCACTATTAAGATTATAGGTGAAAAATCAAGGGTTTGGTTCTTCGTGAACAGGATGCTTAAAGGTAGAAACAAGACGCTGGTGAGGCAGAAGAAAGGTCTTTAAAGATGTTTGGGCAAATGCACGTTTTGAGGTCAACTTCAGATTTGTAATGTAATGTTACAACTCATGTTAATTAGTTGAGAGACTCATCAAAATTGTTTATAAGCAACTCTACCTAAGAATGTATTCTTTACAGCGCTGAAATCTGTCTGCATTTACTGTGTCACAGTGTTGAAGCCAGGCTTGGCAAGGGAATTGCATGACTTCTGCTATGGCGTTCTTCACCTAAAGGTCCTATGAAGTAGACCCAAGGAATTCCGAATACCTCCCTGGAAATGACCATTCCCTCTTTCGTATCTCTTCCAGCTCTCCTCCGTTCGCATGCAGGGATTACTACTTCTGATCTTTGTGAAGCACGTCCACCTTCCTTTCATACGGGACATTCATACCCACTACACACGCACAGGGCTGTATGGATACTGGGTAAGAAAGTATCCCAGACTTGATTGCCTTGGTTATTTGTGCCTCTAAATAGTTTCACGGTGGGAGAGAGTATATATGGTTTACTTAAAAACGAATAGACTGACAAGCAGTGAGACTCACTTGTTTGAACCCTGCATGCAAGTGTGCAGCACTGACTGTAATTGCATCAGTTTATTAGCTGATATACAACAACTTATTCATTTAAATCTAAATAGCAAGATTTAAAAATTTATAGGTGGTCCTAATAGTTACGTTTGCAGGTGTTGACTATAGTTTCAGAGAACATTGTTAATCTTCCATACCAGGGAAACAAAGGAGGAGTCACCGTTCGCATGTCCCTCTATGGTCATACAATTTGTTTCATGAATTGCCACTTGCCAGCTCACATGGAGAACACAGAGCAGCGACTGGATGACTTTGAGAAAATTCTGGAAATGCAGTTTGAAGGAGAGAATATTCCAAGTACCTTGGATCATGAGTGAGTTGTTCAGACCCTATTCTGTCTGTGTTTTTTTTATCTGTTGTATGGTAAAACTCATGCACTGAAGAGTTTTGGTTTTGGAGTTTTCATCCATCGTTTTTATTTTAAATGTCTTTTCAGCCTTGACCTTGAATCCTAGGAGGAAGAGATAACCTGAAAGATGGAGGTCTATTTTGCAAGACTGTTCTCTTCCAGTCTTAAATTACATTAAATTTGTTAGCGTATGTACTGCACATGTGATGCGCTGGAGAGCTTTGGAAGCTAAAGCCTATTTATATCAAAAATCCTTTAGATCACTATTAAATGTTTATCTTCCTGCCTTTTTGGGGGAGATTTGTATTATGTTTTGGGCAGTTTTTATTCCTGTTGTAATTTTAGTATCTGGCTAAGGGCTTCTCAGCCTTTAAAACCTTGATTGATGATTTCTGTAGCTATATGAATTATACTTCCCTCAGGTGTCTCACAAAAAAAAACCCCAAAACAAACCTGATTTGGGCCACTAATTGAGTTCTTGTTCCTTAATTCTGCAGGAATTATTTGTATGTTCTGTTGTTTTCATGTGCTGGAGTCTAAAGATGGTAATAGAACCACTTAAAAAAGGGTTGAGAAAAACATTGTAGTTTGGCAATTTTAAAATTTTTTTTATACCTACAAAACTGCCAGGACAGATAAATCCAGAATAGATAGTAATGTAAGTAATATTACTTTAATTGTTAATGAGTTCATTAAAATTAGGTAAAAATGTATGACACATCAGTTTCAAAATCATTACTTTTCCTACCTTAGTATAAGTGTTTGATATTTCAATTTAATGTGTTTCATTTTCTTGATTATGTGCATGGGCATGTACCAAATCACCTACTGTCATCTTCTAAGAAGAAATTACAGATGGCATTAAAATAAAAGTTTTGTTTCTATAAGGTAAAGTTTGGGGTATCCACCTCTGAACAAATGTTGAAAGTAGGGATTTTCAAAGAGAAGTTAATTTACTTGAAAAGACAGCTTTCCTGTTGTTTAAAACATTGCTGATAATACACTCCAGTGCTTCATAATAATAACTTTCTTTCCTAATAACAATAGAACACCCAATATGTATCCCGTATTATCCCGTATTTAGTGCTTTCCCAAGGCACTAAACCAGAGCTCTGAGTTAGTGGATTAACATAACCAACTGGTGTATAGGTCATGAATTTTGTGAATTATTTTACCTACTGTTAAAATTTAATTCTAAATCTGTCTCTAATAGAGATGTAAGTCATTAGGAGACTTGGGATAAGTTAATACCCAGGCAGTAATGAGCAAGCGGCAAGAATGTAAGGGACTTAATTTACTATTTCAATTCCTTTAAATTTTTTGCTTAGCAGCAGGTTGTCCCTATGTAAGCTTATCTGTAACTACTTAATGTTTGTGTTTAAGCTGTTTAGGTTAAGTAATATAAGTGATTAGAGCACCTAATTAGCGTAATGTCTTATATTCTACTGAATTCTTCCTTCGTGTTAATGGATTCCTATAAATCTTCCTTGGTTTTTTGCTTTTCTTTTTTTTTTTTTTCAAGTGTTCTCTTCTGGTTTGGAGATCTAAACTTCCGGATAGCAGATTATGGGATACATTTTGTCCGAGAATCAATAAATAACAAGCGTTACAATCTGCTGTGGGAAAAGGACCAGGTATGTTGTCTTAATCTGTTTGGGGGTTTTGGTTTGTTGGTTGGTTTGGTTTTTAATGCATACAAACACAACACGGTAGTTAACATTACCTCTTGAGTTTCTAATTTCTGTTGAAGAACACAAATTCAGAGTAATCATGAGGTGGAACAGAACTAGCTGTTCGCTCTCTCACTTCTCAGTCATTAGCCCCAATTAATTGCAAACTTCTTCTGCTTTTGTTTAGTTTCTTACTCATTTACAGTGCTCATGTTTGACTGAAGCTTTCTTTGGACTTCATGGCTTGTGAATTGCTCCTCACCTTAATTTCTCCTCCTTTTTTCTTCTCCCAAGAATTATTTTTAAGAGAAGCTTATTCTGGAATTTGTTTTGAGTAGAACTGCTACAAAACTTTTAAACAGATTGTGTCAAGCGTTCTGGAAGTAACAAAGAGGCACTTCTGAATCTACCTTTCCAGATATGTTGTACTGACTGAGATGTTGAATTCTTCTTGGAAGACGCTTTCTCATCTCCTTTGCCAATTGCCCTTTAAGCTCTGATTTTTAGACATAATCTTTAAAAGTTACTTTTTTATTTCTGCAGTTAAATATGGCAAAAAAGAAGGAAGCATTTCTTCAGGAATTCATAGAGGGTCCTCTGCAGTTTAAACCCACCTACAAGTTTGACCTTTATTCGGATGTATATGATACAAGGTAAAAGCATAAGATGAGTTTAGACATGGAATATTAGAGTGAATGTGGTGCTTGACTAAATATCACTTTAGTAAGCAAACCTGAATTTCCTGGATGGGGCTATTGAGCTGTTAGGCTCATTCAGTGGTCAGGTCCGAATAAATGAATATTTCTGGCTGAAGAAGCCTGAGTCTGCTGATTGCATGAGGAAAATAGTGAAAGAACCCAGCTTTCTTTTTAGAAAGACTAGATTAACAGAATAAACCAGTGCTTGTTTAAGCCACTTCTTTTTTGTTCTTTAATACTAAAAGTGCCCATTGGTTGTCAGAAATGAGCAAAAGGAAGAGAGTAATTGTCTCCAATTTTTGTTTTCCTTCTCTGTTTAAGCATTTCATTTGATACTGCTGGTATTTGAAAATAAATGTAAATGTGTCTTTATAAATTATTTTAAGTGGAAAATGGAGTAGCTTAAGTTTCCAAAGTTTTTCTCTGACACTAAAGTTTGTTGTTAAGTATTAGTCTTATGTTTCAACAGAAAGATAAGTTCCTGTCCAAACAGGGATTTTGTACTGATCTTTTTCTTTACTTCCAGAGAGCAGAAGTCCCTGTTTTGGTTTAAGTAAGAAGAGAACTTTCTGGATTTCATAGATTTGTAAATATTTCAGAATCAAAACAATGCTCCTTCCCGAGCTTTTGATTTGATTTTTGTGAAATATTTGAAAATCAGATGACAGCTGATTTTCTTCAGGGATTTTCTGAACCTGTCTGAAAGCTGTAGTGTTGTCTACTCTGCTGTTGCACTTATTATTGGAAGTTTATTCATTTGGATCTAAAGACATTTTGCTCCCTAATTGAGTGTGAAAAGATATAATGGGACCAGCAGTAAATCCAGTTAACAAAAAATACTTACAATAATCCAAATCTAGACATTCTAAGAATGAGTCATAGCCTAATAGTCTGTCTTGGCTCATTTAAAGAACAAAAAGTATGCTTACGCATACTGTGTGCATTCTGCTGTTGTTAAAGCTGGCAGAGGTATTTTGGTGGGATGGGGGGTGATCAGTAGATGTCAAGGCACGCACCCTTGAAAAGTGTGCTTTATATGAAGCACACAGTAATTCGTTATCTTTGATACTTTTTCAATGTGGATTTTGAGGTTTTGTTTCCCATCTAATATGCCGTTTTCTCTGAAATAGTGACTGTATTAACTTAAGCTGTTCTTTTGGTATTTTCTTGCACAGCAGAGCAGACATATGGCAGCTCATAAAGATTTCTGTCGGTTTATATAATTACTGGAGTAAGTGGGATATGGCCCCTTAGTCATTTAAAATCTTTCCACCTTATTAAAGGTGAGTCAGACTTGTATACGGGAAGGGGTAAAACAAAAGTATGTTGAATATTGAACTAAATGGCATTTCCAGTTTATGATGATTTTGATATTCAAAGTTATTAAACTGACAGTTTTCCTTACACATCCTGCTCATTAACTTTTATAATTCAATCCAGTCCATTCTAATTCCTCTTCCATAGGGTATGATCTTTTCTCCATTTCAATTTGAAGTGATACATCCATACAGAGAGTTGCTGTTAAGTCTTCCTCCCACTACAGAGAGAACCACGAAAGGCTCATGTCTTCTGTTGTTATTGATATGGTATAAAAGGAAACTCTGATTACAGTTTGATGTATTGCCCAGTTCAGGTTGCAGATGCAACTTTCTTGATTATGGAATTTTTAAAGCCTTTTGTTATGAGACAGCAATAGCTTACAGACTTGAAATACAGGCTAGTACAAGTTAGAGGAACTTTAAATAAAGCATTGCTCTGTCACGTGTGATTAGTATAAGCTACCTAAGTTTGTTTGTTTTTTTGTTGTTAAAAGAAACTTGTTCTCAAATGTTTTGAATAATTTCAAACATCGTTCAGACTCTTCCTACATTTTCCTTAAGTTTATGCCCCTTTTCTCAGAATGACTATACATTTGAAGCTTGGGGCAGTTGCTGTATTATCTCAATTTTCTTGCATGTTTTTATGGCGTGTTTTAGGAGAAAGTATCATTTCCTGTATGAAGCCGACTAACCCATTGAAATGCCCTTCTCCCCTTCATTTTACTCCTCTCTCAGAAACCTATGAAACTTACCTGTGGTAAATGGAGTTGAGTTCAAATTAAGGAAACCTTGGTTGTAAAGCATATTGAACAGAGCTGTAAAATGAAGCTTGGATGTGATTGCCTTCTTTTATTAATATGTATCTGACAGTCTTTCAACTTTGAGTAGATTTTGCACAGTATTCTTAGCTTTTGGCAACTGTTTTTCTTCTCATTTCCTTTTATCTTACACTTCTGCAGTGAGAAGAAAAGAAAGCCAGCGTGGACTGACAGAATTCTTTGGAGAGTGAAAAATCTCTGCCAGCATGCATCAAAAGAAGGCAAATTCTCTGAAGAAGAACAGACAATTTCTGTTACTTTGCATAACTATATCAGTCACATGAGCTATGGCATCAGCGATCACAAACCTGTTACAGGAACTTTTGGGCTTGAGGTGCTGTCCCAGTTATTTTGTTAAGAAAAAGTTTGTTTTACTAAGCCTTGCCTTAGAGAAGCTGATTTTCTAAACTTTGTAAGTCATAATCTCTGTTTCATTCTGGTTATAGTGAAGGCAGCAAATTGCTTTTCAGGTTATTTCCATTCAGTTAAGAGTCCCACAGCAGTTGTGGCAGAGAATAACTTGAAAAGAATAACTGAAAGAATGACAGACTTGACTGACTTTAAATTCTGTTCTTTTGTCTAGTTGAAGCCTCTTCTATCAGATCCTTTGGTTGCGCTGAATCCTGAGGGTGAGTGGAGTGCGGAACATGATGTTCTCATCAGCTATTCTGCAGTGCCTGAATTCCCAAGCAGTGCTTGGGACTGGATTGGACTCTTCAAGGTAATGTTACCGCATCATGGCTCTTTACTGTTATGAAGATGGTGAACATTACTGGAGGAGGTAGTTGATAGTCTTCTGTCATAGGACATTGTGATTCTTGCTGGTGCAAAACTCTCTGAAATGGTTGTGTATCCTTGATTGCCATTAGTTTCTGTATGGCAACAGTTTAGTTGCATTAGCATGCGAGCTTTTTCACGCCCTTTAAATTCTCTGCTAAGATAATGTGGTGATTTATTTAAGTAAAATGGTGCAGAAGCTGTGAAAAGGAATTGTCCTTCCCTAATGCCTGCAGTTCAAAAAGCTTTATACAGCAAAGAAAGAAGAAAAATAAAAGTCAGTGGAGGGGTAAGAGAACAGAGCATTCGCACCCTCTCAGAAACAAAAGATTTGTGCATGCCCCCAAAATGTTTTGATCCTAAAAGTGAATTGTTTTAATTACTTCAGTGAAGTAGTAAACATCTCTCTCACAACTTTGAGTTTTCCATGTAGTATGGTTTTTGTTTCCTTCGGAAGGCTGATGGTTTGCATCTTTCTTTGCAGGTGGCTTTCAGGCATGTGAATGACTATGTTACTTACGCTTGGGTAGAAGATGATGAAATTTCTTCAAACAAAGACAGTAAACAAGTAAGCCAATTATATTTCTTTCTAATATAGTTTTCCACAGAGTAGCATTTGAGGTCTATTTGTTCCATATCCCCCTCCCCTTACGGGTTCTGTATCCTCTTTCCCAGTTGAAGCTAATGGGGAGTGATATTGTTTAAAATGCTTCTTCCTAATTCTTACTAATTTTCAGGTAGTCTAGCACACCTTCTCAGATGTGATCATACTGCTTAAGGGAATTGATGAAAAAGCAATTTATTCCTGTAGTGACTTTTCATTGTATTAAAAACTACTGTCATTTTATATTTTGGTCTGTTTCTGCCACTGAAATAAGTAACTGTCCATTTTTTCATCTGATTGTCAAAGTTGCTCAATGTATGTTAAATATTTATTGTGTGATTTTCATTACAGTTGTAAGTACCTAATGTTACTAACACAATTAGTTCCAGATATCTTATACAGCTACAGATTAGGGTTTCTTAGACTTTTCTTCATTTTGACTATTGAATGTTGGTCCCTTTTTAAAAACTGCTGCCTGTTACATAGCTTTCTAGTAGTGATTACCTAAAATGATTTAAAACAAACAAACAAACAAAACTTATTTTGAATACAAATTATCTGTTTCCAGAGGTATTTATCTGAACGAACAAATTCAAATTTAATTTTGGATACACAGTGAGTGGAAGGATGGATGCGGTTTTCCAGACAACAACGGAAAGCAGTTTAATTTAGAGATGATGTAAATTAGCATCAGGTTTGCAACAAGAGCCCAAATTGTATTGTATCAATATTCTGAATCTCAAAATTTCTCTGATATCATCCTATCTATCCATCTCCTATCACTAAGCTTAAAAATCTAAGCATTATGAGCGCTGTTTTAGCAGGATACTGTGGGCTGCAGTTGAGGAACTTTAGGATCTTTAGGATCTTTAGTACAAAACGGAGGTGGTGGGTTTGCTCTGCTGTTGCCTCTGACAGCTTATTGTCACCAGGAGGCAATTCGTCTCCCTTCTTGCTGCTTGTGGAACCTTGCCCCTTCCCATCCAACAGCTCTGGGTTTCATCTAATTCTTGCTGAACCAAGTCAGCTTGCTAACATGGGGAAGGATATTTGCTTTTCCTCCCTGACTTAGTTTTCAGATGGTTTCATGAGTTATTTCTGTCTTCATGCTTTTTAGCTTACGTTTAAAAACTTGCTTATAAATAGTAAATACCAATTTTTATGGTGTCCTGAATGGCAGAGACTGCTTTTTTTAAAGCTTCTTTCTTTGTGGAAATTGCCCATTGCCTATTCTTACTCTTGTTGACAGGTTTACATGAGTGCTGCAGAAATACCTGATATGGGAGGAGAATTTTTGCTTTGTTATTATAGCAATAATTTGCAGTCAATAGTTGGTATCAGCCAGCCTTTTCAGGTAATATATTTGGAAGCTTTGATTAACATTGATGTGATTTTTATTTCTTTTGTTCTCATATGCATCTGAACATAGGTGTGTGCAGCTGTATTAATCCTGGGGGAGGTGGCAGCAGAAGTAATTGCAAAAAGGATATGTGCTGGCTAACATCCCATAAAAGAATTTGCTGATATGCTAAAAGACTCTGAGTAGCTATTTTTGCAACACGTCATTGTGATGAAATACGACAGGTTTCTCTCTCTCAGCTTTCATTTTTGGAACTTCAGGCTCTGTCAGTTAGGTCCCTAGTTTCTGTAAAGATGAGAACTCAACTTAAATGCTGCCAAGTTTCTGACAGATTGTAAGTGAGCTCTTTGTGCTCCGTTCTGTGGTAGATTTGCACAGAAGCGCTTCCTGTATAATTAGTCACTTGAATTTGGGAGAGACCAGACAACTGGAACTCAAGTTACGTGTTTAACAGGCTTCTTTGTTTAATTTCTGAAAGGATGACTTAGCCTGCACAGACAAGATGAAGTGACCAAGCATTGCTTCTTCTACACAAGCACTTTTTGCCAAAATCATTTTGTTTGTGTATAATTTTCCATGCTGTCATGGCTGTGCTAATGTGTTGTAGAATGGTTGAAGTGGAAGTTCTGCGTTGCTGTTGGATGAAGGGGTTTTAGAAGGCTGTGAAACTCCATTACCTTAGGGGATACAGTAATGAAAGTTGCTGGGCTGGCTGGTTTATCTCAGTGGTACTGTTCATATTTTTCTTTCTATATTGGTGGGAAATATTGCAGAGCCCAGTATTTCAGTTGTCTCTGAGCTTGATATCTACCACAAACTCTGCAGGATGGTTATCAGTTGTATGTGGATACAACACACCATATGCCTTTCTTTTTGGATGACACTTAATGTTTTGATATCAGTTTAGTGCTTTTTTACTAGATTTTTTTTTTGTTTCGTAATTGCTGCATAGGTGCATCACTTCTAATTTTCTCAGTTTCTAGCAAGTATGTAAGACATCTTTATATAATGGTGTATTGATAGTGTAGAGCAACACAGTCTTTCTGCATATGTTAATTTGCTTTTTAACTACTGTCTTTCTTCTAGATTCAGCCTAACAGAACATTAATAGAAAAGGATCTGTCACAGGAAGAGAACAGTTGGATGCAGAAACCTGACAATCTGGAATCGCATAATGAGTTCTGAAGGCAGAAAGAGCATTTAGTGGTCCTGATTCAGGAGTCTCATAATTCTTTATTTATTTCTTAGTGATTATAAGCTTTTACTCTTAGAAGATGGGGTAAGGCAGTGCAAGTAAGACAGGTAGGATTGTTCAGAAACTTTGTAATCTCATAGAAGATAATTTATTGTGCAAACAGATATTTTTATTGTTACAGGGAGAGTAAGTCTCTTGCACTGGATGAGAACCATAAAAATAGCACCTAATGAATGCTGTATGTTTTAAGGTGATAGACATTTCTAATACAATGATTTAACCTAAATGAGTTGCAATCTGTAATAGATTTTTAGGCTTGCTCCTTTTTTGTAGAGGATATTTTATTTACAATACAATATTTACTATGCTGTAACCACTTAATAATTGATTTCCAAATTTTGAGTTTAAGTGAAGTTATTTAAAAAATTATTTATTAGATACAGCTAGTTAGCTTGTTTTAAAATTTTATTTGACTTTCAAATGTAAGCTAATTACCTTTTGGGAAACACGTGTGGCAACAAGTCACATGAAAACAAATTCTCCTTTGGTAGTAGATCCCTTTTCTTCATGCCTTACTGATAACTGTTTGTAGGATTTTCCATTTCTAATTTTTCCAGATTGAGATACATTTATCAAAATACACTTTTCCTGATTTTTTTTTTTATTCTTCTTTTATAAAACAATTTAGCAATTTGCCTATCGCGTTTCTGCCTCTGATTTTTAAAAGTAAAATAAAACCACTTTTACACTAGTCCCTGGCTCAGAGTTAACCAGGATCCCACAATTTCTGAATGAAATTGCTTAAGTTGAGAAATGCTTTAGCATAGGTGAGCAGACCATAGTTCATGAAGCACTTGTTGGCAAAGAGCTAATGATCATCACTAACCCCGATGGTTTTCTGTTGTCATATTGAATTTAGAAAGCTAAAGCCATATTTAAATACTTCCTGATACCATCCTGCCACATAATTGCTACACTTATGACAGAGATGATGGGAGTTACAAATGTGGAATTTCAGTGGAACAAGTTCATTCTTATGGCATAATCTGTGCTATCAAAATGGTAAATCTCTTCAATTTATAGCAATCGGTCTGCAAAATTTCTGGTTTTCTAGAGGTGCTTAGACCTTAATGTATCCTGTGCACTTGAGGGTGGAGATGGAATAAGAAACATCATGTACCTTTAAAAGCCTGAAAGGTAGTTAGCTTCAGAAATGGTTTTGTTTCTTGATGAGGAAATGGAGATGTTTGGAAAGGATTGGAAGAGGCACCAACATTCCACAGAATCTCAGACTGCAGTGCTGGACGAGAGCACTTGTGAGTCTCCCATGTTCTAGATACACAGCTTCGAGCTACCTACTGTGTATGGTAAGTAAAGTTAGTCACTAATCAGTGTCATGTTGGTTATGGATGGAAAAGAGAAAATTTGGTTCAAGTGGAAGAGCAAAGCAAAGGGTGTTGGTGTGTTTATGCTGGAATATTGCTTCAGAACTGAATGGATTCCTTTTTGCTCTTTTTCTCAAAGCCTTAGTATTTTCATGATTCTTTTGAGATAGAAAGTTAACACCGTCATATGACATTTGTTTTGCAGTTACTTGCTTATATCATTCACTGTATAAAACCTTCTGGGGTCCAGGCATCTTTGTATACTGTGGAAACTATAACATAGGTTAACTGGTTAGATAGTTGCAGTATGGGGTTTAAGAACACCTAGCCTCTGTAAATTTTATTTAGTTATATCTCAGCTTAATGCTTGGTGTTGGGAACTGTTTCCAGTTGTAAGTAGTGACGACAGGTTCAGAAGATACTGTGTTCATTGCATGGATTAAAACTGCCTTGAGGTTTACAGTTGGTACATTCCTGTTACACTTTGGAACAATATTAGGAACAGTTTTCACATTTGTACCAGTCTTACAAGAATTTGTTTTGCACTAAATCTTTCAGATATGTGACTTTTCATGGCAATTAGGGCATCAGACAAATCCCTACTGAATTGCAAAGAGCTTGCAGTTTTTGAGTTGTACTCTGTTTCTGATTTTACTCTTGTAACTGTACTCCATGCAAGGAGATTCTGTGGAGAGCTCAAAGAACAGTGGTCTTTGAATTCCAGACCACAGCTGGCGATTTATTGTGGACCAAGATCCAGTTTCTTCTAATCAGGGTGCATCTGCTGTTCACGAGCAGCTCAGAGGGGGAGCCATACAGCCACTTTACATGGGCAAGAAACTCAAGATCCTTAATGTTGTACGAGAGCTGATAACCCTCTCAATCACTGGACATAGAAGCTGTGTTTTGTAGACTAATCCTTTGAACCACAGGACTTCACTGAAAATGCCCACAGCAGCTGCGATTGAATCTGCTTGTGTGTTAGTAGGATGCTGCACAGAACTGTATACTTCTTTCTCAAGTATTATGCACACAGTAGCACTTTTGTTTACTCCTGTTACCTATGGTAGCTTTTCAAGCTATTCCATGACCTGTAATGATGCAATTTCTGATGAACTTTATCTTTCTTAGAACGCCTTTAATTGGATGTTATAATCACTGGAAATGTTTTTATACTCCTGTGTTTTCTTTTCGTGTACCACTAAAATAAATCCTGGCAGTGAAGTGTTCTACATGGCCTCTATTAATTTGAGAACACATTGGTTTGGGTGGGGAGGATTATTTTGTGCATGGTAACCTTTCGCCAAGAAACTTTGGTCATGTTTAATGTGCAGATACAACAGTATTTTAGAATGGAAATATGTCAGTAATTACATATGCGGTAGGGCTTTGGACTGCAAAAGAAGGGCAAGGACAAATATTGGTTTTCTTTTGGACAAAGCAGATTCATCTAATTTTTTTTTTTTCCATTTAAGCGAATCTAGTATTAAAGGGACTTCTGTTGTGGATTTTCTGCCCCCTTCTTCCCCCCCATTGAGGAGGTCTTGATATTTTCCTTGTAAAAATGCTCAAGCCACTTAAATTGCTTTCTTAATTTTTAAGAACAGGTTCTTCTAAATTCACTTTTTCACAGTGAATTTTTCACAGTATGATTTGAGATGTTTTTTTTATCTTTGTGAAAGATCTGCTACATTGTACTTCGTATTTTAAATTTTGTATGTTTTAATATAAATTTGCGATCAAATAATTTCCATCTAAGGGTAACTTTTCATAATTCCCTGCTGTTAGAGAATTTATTTTACAATAGGAAATATGTCTACCAAGGAATGTTGTCCAGTATAGCCTTATTTAACTTCCATATATTTCTGATTCCTAGCTAACCTCAGGATGTGCAGTGTATCATTGCACATAGATAGTACAGCTCTGTGTAAACAGGAAATATTTCTAAGATGTCTTGCGTGTTTGTTAGACCCTAAAAATACGTTCTGATAAAGACTATTGTTTCTACTACCACTACTTCCTTCTCTGCTCTTGGACACTAAGTGACACTCCGATGAACTTGTCTTAATTAATTTACTGCAGTGGAAAGGCCAATTGAACAAAGCTTGAATTAGGTTTTCCTTGAGAGAGGAAACGATACCTTTTTTGAGAACTCTGCATTACTAACAGGAATATTTCCGATGGCCCTTTTTGTCCTTGGATATAGGGATTCACTATTTGAAAGTGATTGAAATGAAGGAATTTCTTTTGTAATAACAAGATACAGAGATCACAGAAGGTTCCTGGTACTCATCACTGCATGAATACCAATGTTATTTAACTTTATAACTCATGCATTAAGCGGATGATATCCTAGTTTCCTTATACCTGTTTTTTCTTTATACCAATCTTGAAAGAGAATGGAGAAAAAAATTTTTGTGTAAAGATGGAAGTGTTTGAGGCCAGCTGTCTATATGCACAGCTTGCTTTGTCTTATCCTTAACTCTCTTTCTTCAAGCTCAGACATTAGAGTACACAGTACACAGTAGTGCAGAGTAAGCTATTCTTTGTGTGGCTGCTTTGTTCAGCCAAGGCAATGGCACTTGCCACCTGATGGATCTGTGCAGTACACATTTAGTTACTCTGGAAACTGATCTGCTCAGGAGCTATACTGAACTCGCGGGTTCAGTTGCTTCAACTTGAGAAAAGTCTTGTATCTGTGTGTGTGCATCCCACCTCCCTGTATTACAGTGGAACTGTCATCTTCTCCTTACAAGATCTTTGTAATTAAAAGAACATCTTGTATGTGCAATCTAGAAAGTAGCAAGAGAACCTGTGTGGGAGCTTTTGAAGCACAGGTTGGAAGAATCACTGGAGGAAAACAGTGAAGTCAGAGGAAGTATGAGATCTGGGAATGCAAACTGGCAAGAGGAAATGCAGAGGTGTGGGAAAAACTCAGAAAATAAGAATTTACTAGCACCACAAAAAGAAGAAAAATACTATAGCAAACATTTTAACCTGTTAACCATACTTTGTTTGAAACTGACAGTTATCAAATACAGACATCAGCCCTAGCAGGGAATGTTTCAGCATTGTTTATCAAATACGAGCTTTACTGTAACTGTGGTTTTAAAGTGTACTGCTTGGTCTTGGCAGAGACCACACTATGTTCCTCTCTTCCCTCTTCTATTTTGTTCTCTTTTATATGTATCTTTTTCTTCAGCCTCTTTCTACTTTCTTTATCCTTTTCTTTTTTTCCTCTTGTTCTCACTTACTTGTAGCCCATTTTCAGAAGTTTTTTCGCACGTAATTCTGGTATCTGCATCCCAGAAATCATTCCAGTTAAACAGCCCTCATGTTCTAGACTACTGATCTTTGTAATTCCTCTATATAGGAAGGGTAGATAAGATAGGCTAGGTATTGCTCCATATTACTGAGTAGGGTGGTTTTGTTTGGGGAAGTGACAGTGATGTTTTTTTTAAATGTCATAAAATCTCTTTTTCAGTAGATCCCTATATTGGGAAGTAAGTGGTCAAGGAAACAATTGTTGCACTGGAACAGTCTTGTCTATAACAGCTAAGGGAAGTATAAGAATAATTCCAGGTACAAAACACAGAACAGTGACG